TGGGAACCACTTGGGTAAGAGCGCTCATTTTAGGGATGGGGCGCGTACGTGCATTTAGATTAAGTTCCCAAAATTTCAGCCCTGTAGCTTTTGTAGGTCTCGAGATGAACCATTGGCGACGCGCACCGGTTGGGCTCGTGCGACCATGCGTTTTTGCAGTATTTCGTGCTGTAATGAGATCACTCGGAAACCCAGTAGATAGAAATATGTGATATACTAGTCCTCGTGGTCCGGAAAGTTAGTAGTCTGCACAGTATTTGGACAGGGACATTCCGTTCAAATTTCAGCTTTCCAAATTTTTTGGTTCTTGAGTTAGCAGTTTTCCTGCCAGAAATTTTCATGGGGCTGTGCATGAGTACCACACACACTGAAGGGTTAAATTTGATAAGTTGTACTTTTGCTGGGAAAATTCCCTGAGAGTTTTAGCTTCCCAGTCTTTCTGGTTCCCAAGTTAGCCATTTTCGCGCCGAAAACTTTCACGAGGTCATACGTGAGAACCACGCATGCCCGGGAGCTGAGTTTGATAAATTTAAGATGAACTTGTGATTGAAACATTCCCTGAAAATTTCAGCTCCCCAGCTTTCCTGGTTCCCGAATTAACCATTTTCGCGCCAGAAACTTTCACGGGGCCGAACATGAGAATCACGCATGCCTGGGGGCTGAATTTGACAAATTTATGTTTTACACACGCCAGGAACATTCTCAGAAAATTTCAGCATCCTAGCTACCCTGGTTCCCAAGTTGGCGATTTTCGCGCCAAGAACCCTCAGGGGGCCAAACGCAAAAACCACTCACATCTGGGGATTGGATTTGAAATCTTTGAGTTCTATGTGGACGGGGAACATTCCCTCAAAATTACAGCTTTCTAGCTCTTCTGGTTCCCGAGTTAACGATTTTCCCGCCAAAACTTTCACCTTCTCGTACGCAGGGCCCTGACTTGCTTGACGGCTGGTACCGCGGTCCCGGGGCGGCAGTTGGCTGGAGAAGCCACTGGCAAAATTTTGGCGCCGGAGCTCGCTTGGTTGCCGAGTTGAAATACCCGGACAGACACACACACCGGGGTCGTCACAATATACGTTTTTGCATTTGCATGTAAGCAAAAACGCATAAAAATCGGTAAAGATGAACACACACACAGATAAGCGCTCTTTAATGTGCGTTTTCTGCATTGCACAGCTGCAAAAAACGCATAAAAATTATTTGCTGTTATTGTATTGTGCTTCACTGCTTTGCTCGTGTGACTTAGACGGTTTAAATAATCTGAATTTTTATGCGTTTTTTGTAGCTATGCAATGCAGAAAAAGCATATTGACGAGTGTTTGCCTGTTTGTGCGCCTGTCACGGTTTTTCATCTCAAGACCTACAAAAGCTACAGGGCTGAAACTTTGGGTAGTCTAAATGCACGTACGGGCCCCAATGCCCAAAATGGGCGCCATTACCCGCGTATGGGCCTGCCAAAGTTTTTTACGGGTAAGTTGAAAACTCGGGGATCTGAGAAGCTAGAATGCTGAAATCTTAGAGTGATGTCCCCCGTCCAAATAGGTATTAGTGAGCTCAAACCCAACCCCCAGGTAAGCGTGGTACCTGCGTACGAGCCCGCCAAAATTTTTTTCGGGTGAGTTCATAACTCGGGGATTTGAGGAGTAGAATGCTGAAATTTTACGGGACGTCCCCTGTCCACGTTAGTTTTGATAAGCTTCAGACCAGTCCCCGGGTACGCGTGGTACCTACGTGCGGGCCCGCCAAAGTTTTTTCGGGTAAGTTGCTAACTCGATAACCTGAAAAACTAGTAAACTGTAGGATTTTCCCCGCCCACGTAAGTTTCAACGAGCTCAAACCCAGACATCGGGTATGTGTGGTACTCACATACGGGCCCGTGAAAGTTTTTTCCAGTAAGTTACTAACTCAGGAGCCAGGAAAGCTAGGAAACTGAAATTTTAAGGGTTGTTTCCTGACAGTTCTGGCGGCCAGTCTTGATTTGTTTAGCTAGAACTATTTGCCAAAAAAACCGGTGCCGGTAGTGACAGAAACTGCGGAGAACT